CAGCAGCAAGTCAAAATTGTGTTGCATACCAAGCTAACTCATTAATGGCAAGAGGTTTGCCTCTTCTTCTCAGAGCCGAGGGCTCTCTCCCCTGTTCTGCACAACTGCCAGCATTTCCCCCAGGCCCTCCCCACTCCCTGCAGGGAGGGGAGGAAGTGAATCCCTTCCATCCCTTTGAGCACATTGTGAATGCTGATGTTACTCTGGTCATTGACGTGGTTCGGATCATTTTCCTCCTAGCCTTCTTGGTCTTCCTCAAGTCGTCCTCTTCGTCAAACAGATCCTGCAGGTAAAAGGTCACAGCACACCAGAGCAACTCAGAGTGCATGGAGCAGCATCTCTTAGAAGTTCCCCTACCCCATGCTTGCCCCCCATTTTGAAAAGCTTTTGTCCATTCTGCTCCCAGAGTCTTGCTTCTCACTTCTCCCACCTCTCTCCACACAGCTCCTTCTCCCTCCTTAGCACTTGTTCCCCAGCAGACCTTCTTCCCCAGCGCCTTTTGTCCCCCGGCCCCTGCAGGGGGACCTGGACCAGCAAGATTCAGGAGAGCAAGCAGCTCCCCCTTGTTATGGTAACAGTCCTTTTTACAACCTAAAACTCTCTCCGCACTCGCCAGCCTCCCTGTGACCCACGTGTTGTCCTCTCCAGGGTTAGCTCAGAGGGCACAGCACCTGAGCTCGCAAAAAGTGTTCTTCGAGGGCTCAGCCTCAATATCACACAGAGGTCCCAGGGACATGGGGCCCCGATGCGTTAACTCAGCACAATGGGACAGGCCATGTGGAGGACCCTGAACAGAGATTTGTCCCTGTGCTCAATCAGCATGCCACCACAAGTCTTTTTTGGTCTCGAGTGTAGGCACCACAACAAGGGGACAGCAAACAGCAGTGGCACAGCTCATGACAGGTCTGGGATGAGTCTGCCACCTCCTACCATTTTCAGACCTAGACTGTACTTTTTCCTAAAAGCTCTGTTCTCTCTCAGGGAGAGGGCAGCCTCTGGCCTGTTATCACAGGAAGATGGCAGAAAATCATGGTGCAAGATGGAGGGGGCTCAGCAGGGGTGTTATGCTTGCAGACCCAGCCAGACCTATGGCTCTCCAAAGTCCCTTGCCCCACCATGGACTTGGCAGTAGCCCACAGTTCTTCCTGCTGTCAGGTACTGTGGCTGGCTCCCCTCTGAAACCATGACAAATGTTTACAAGGGAGATGAGAGGGCTCAGGGTGATTGAGACCCTCAACCACTAACTCTTGTACCAGAAATCAGACCAGGACACAAGCTACCCTGCCAGGCCTCCCTTACCTGACCCTGCACAGCATCATCGCTGGCTTCCTGCTCTGAGGAGAAGCTGTCATCCTCTTCTTCAGAGTAGTTATCAATATCTGGGGAGCGATCTGAAAGCAGACAGTGCAGATGCCACAGCTAAGCATGACGCCTGTCACGGCTCCGGTGCAATGATTGGTATAGCTGGCAGGCGCTTGGGGATGCACTCCGTTACCCACATCCTCTCCCAAACACTTGCCTTCATGTCTATGATGAGTGCTAACACACCTGAAGCTTTGATTTTAGGACCTGAGGGGACGCTCCCATCCTCATGGTCAATGGGCTGACTGGACAAAGAGTAGATGCTGATTTCAGCCACTCGGATGTTCACGTCCTTCATGTTGCTGTGGAGGCCTAGAAGCTGCCCACCATCCGTCGGGTGCTGCATCACCTAGGCAGACAGATAAGACCCCTGCCAGGGTGACGCGATGGCAGCTGGCAGCCCACTCCCTCTGTCTTACAGCTAGCCAATAAGCCAGAGCAGTCACAGCACCGAGCACCTGCCAGCTCCCTTCCCAGTGCTGGCACAGGGAGGCCACGCCAAGTTCCCCTCTGTTCCCAGCACCCTGTACCTCGGCCATGTTAATGATGCCCACAGCAAGGGTCTTGTAGCCCAGGATTGTGCGGTTCTTGTATCTCTTCCTCCGCTGCAGCATGATCTGCAGTTTGTTGCCATCTCTCTTGAGGAAGTGTGGGTACTGGGGAAGGGAAGCACAGGGAAGACAGCAGCATGAGGGCAGGGCTCAGCATGACACACAGGCAGAAGACTCTTCCTCAGTGCTGATGTAGAGCAGGATCTGACCTGCTGAGTTTTGAGGTGCCCCTCAAAGGCCACCTGCACTCTGCATCATCCTCTAACTCCACATTGCTCAGCAAAACAACCCCAGGAGCAATGAAGCAGCTGGCCAAAAAAAAACCAAGCACAGACAACCACAGGAGGCCCCTCCTCAGGGGCTGCCCGCTTCACACTGAGCCCCCAAAGCCGTCCTTGCCGAGAAATACTAGGTGAGGGGAGCAGCAGGGAGCCCAGGGCACCGGGCAGCACAAGGTACCTGCAGTGAGAAGGTCAGCTCCAGCTCGGTCTCCATCAGGCCGCCGGGCGGGAGGACATATTCATTAGATCGCAGGACTCGCTTTGAACCCTACAACAGGATTGGTAAGCACACACAGCTGAGCTGGAGCATCTTGGCCCCAGACTCCACTGCACCACACACACAAGTCAATGGTGTTCACAGTCCACAAGGAGAAAGCCAGTGCCTTGGCCCTGTTCTGTTCCACCCTCCCCACACCAGTCCATGCTTTGTGAGAGCTCGCAGCTTCTCCCAAGCTGCCAAAGGCCCTTCTCCTCGCCTGCCTGCCACTGAGCCCTCCCTCTTCCCAAGCCTGCTCTGTTTAACCTGGCTCCTCGCACCCCGAGATCTGTGGAGGCGGACACCGCCAGAGGCAGAGAGAGCCACGCACATAGCACCAGCAGCAGAAGGAAAGGCTCCCAGCATGCTGCCCAGCCAGGAAAGGGACACCTCTCCCACTCAGCAGACAGACTCCGTGCAGACCCCTGCCCAAGCACAGCTGGCAGGATGGCTCTGCTGGGACCAAGGCAGGATGTCCCAGAGGAACAGGGGTCCCCCCGCTTGCCCAGCTTGTCTCTCAGAAAACTCATCCTAGTCTTTTCTTCCACATCCCCTCTGCAATCAAAGAGAACAGCAGTGGCCACAGGTGTGTTTCAGCACACAGCGAGCAGCAAGGAAGCCTGCTGATGGGAACTTCCACAGGGTCTAGCAAGCCTGGGTGGCATCAACAGAAGGCCTTTCTTGCACCTCCATTGCTGACGTTACCTATGCTAGCAAGGAAAAAAAATCAAAGAACCTGTTGGGGGGGGGGCATGAAAGGCCTCCACATTTTGCAGTGATGCAGCATTACAGTTCTCACTGCTACCCGAGTAAAGATAAACTCTAGCAAAACCTTATATGGTTTTCAAGAGGCCTGGTCTGAGCTACCTGCAACATTATTCCCAGCACTTGTGCCAGGAGTGAGGATTTCCTGTGAAAGGTCTTCCTAAAACTGAAGAGAGGAGGTGGAGCTCACCCCCTTTCTCATCTGTGAGCTTTCCTGGCTAACAACACACTGACCCTTCCTGAACTCTTCTTTAATATGAGAATACAGGTGGTCATTATGACAGTGACCATTTACTTCAGCACATTTATCATTTGCTGTTTGTTGCACAGAGATTATCCACCAACGATTCATTCTTTCGTCAAAACACACATCCTGGTGCAATTATTCTTCTTAAAGATGCTATTTCTGGGGACAGAGTTCCAGCAAAGGAAAGGTGAGGACAGCCTGAGCGGCATGTTCAGCGAGCAAAGGTTTCACAAACATTGCTGTCCCATGTGTCACTGTCATTTACCACTGTGGAGGTCACACACCCAGCTCTGGCCCTCAGTGGAACACCGGCGCACGTCCACATGGCACTGCAACGCCCGGGACCAAGGCTGGTTGGGTATCGGGAGCAGCGGTGGAGCTCAGAGCCCGCTAAACAGCAGCACTTCTTAGGTCTGGCTCAGTTCTGGGCTGCAGGCTGGCTTCGCTCAAGCCCTAGGAGATCCCTGGCCTGTGGAGTGACATGAAGGGAGAAAGATCATAATGTCTAAGCTCAGAGGACCAGCTCCCAGGGCACCATGGAGCGTAGCACTCAGGACACGAGGTAGAAAAAGGGCTAGAGGTTGCGCTGCAGATGCGTGAGGTACAGTCCTCTCAGCAAGGTAAAGCCACTACCTAAAGCTCAAGTTCAGCTTGCAAAGTCCTCTAGGTTTCATGAAATGGACAGCACTCGCACATCCAGTAGGAAAGACGGATCACCTTCAGGAGCAAACCACGACCCAGCAGAAACTAGCACTCGTCCAATTAAACAGATTAGAAACTAGCGCCTGGGGGCTGCTACCTGCCCATCAGCAACAGGGAGGTAAGAACAATTGGAGATTTCCAGTAAGGTCAACACAAACCCCATGAGGTTCAACAAAGGCAAAAGCAAAGTCCTTTCCTAGGACTTTCCATTACTTTGCTGCCTGGGAAGAATCCCAGGCAGCAGGACAGATTCTGAAGAAAGGGACAGGGGGGATCCTGGGGAACATGAAGGTATCCCTACATCGGCAGCATGCCCTGTTGCAGCAATGACACCAACCTCAGCCTCAGGAAACGTGCGGGGGATGCCTACCCTCTGTTCAGCACTAGTGACACCACAACTGGATTCCAGAGACAGTTTGGGCTGGGCTCCCTAGTACAAGACAGACATTGACAGACTGGAGCAAGTCCAGCAAAAGACATAAGGATGGTCAGGGGCTGGAGCACAGGACATCCAAGGGAAGGCCGAGTGAGCTGGGTTTGTTGAGCTGGAAGAGGAGAGGGTGTCTGCCTACAGACACTTAGCAGGAGGGTGTAGAGAAGACAGAACTGAACTCAGAGGTGCACAGGGACAGAGTGAGAAGTAATGAGGATGAGCAGGAACGTGGGAAATTACCATTAGATGTTGGGATATTTTTCCTTTCTCTGTGAGTGCAGTGAGAAATTCAAACCCCAACTGGACATGGCCCTGAGCACCTGATGTAGCTCAGCTCTGCTGCAATTCAAGTAACGTCAAGCAAGATCAATTTCTTAGCAGAACAGCTGAGTATCACCACCAGTAATACAGGAAAACTTAATATCAGGCTGTTACAGTGAAGATCACAGATGACAAAGACTGTCAAAGGAAGTGAAAAGCAACAGGGAGAGGTTGTGGTCCCAGATCTTCACTACCTAACAGACTGAAAACATAGAGGAGCTTTCACTACTATACTGTCCTGGGTCCAGCTGGGATAGG